GTTGGATTGGATTTCATGTGAGGAAAAGAACTTCAAAATCCTATTTCATATTATTACCTTTTTTCATAAAAAATGTTACGATACTATTACCAACTTGTCATTTTAAAATGTTACCTAAGAGGCTGTTTTGTGAAATCTCTTTTCAAATTCTTCTGCTTTCTCCCCTTCCTAAACCATACTCTCTCTTCAATTAGACAAAAGAACATAATCTAAAAATGGATTTTAAAACTCATGCCACATGTCAAATTTCTTACTGAAATATATTATTTCATCCAAACCCAACCTTAAGCATGGACAAAATAGTAATTAAGCTAGAAGCTAAGTGCTATTCTTTCTTCCTATCCTACACTTATTTCCATTGTTTCTTGATGATCATTATATCCCCTATTCAAAATTAACGATGTTTCATACATTATGTTTGGCCAACAATATTTCATTTCTTTTTTATATATATTTATGAAAAAGACTATGTTTGTAGGAAGCATGAGGCATGATGACAGTCAAATATGAAGTGAAAGCTAGCACCGTTGGTGAAGAGGAGTGTTGTTCTTGCAGAGATCAGAAGCTGCTGGTTAATGTCTAGCTGCCAGTGTGTTGAATTGAATATAGTATTGTGTGTAATTTTATTTTCTAAGCTATGCTATGCAACTTGTTACGTGATAATTGTGATCTTTAAGGGTTCTGAATGTTATCTTTGGAGAAGTGTGAGTAGCTCTCTAGTTGTTCAACGTGATCAGAGGATTGAATACGTTGGGTATATATGTATTTGAATGAAACTTTCTTGGTGCCTGATGAGAAAGTGCTTGTGGAGTGGATGTTCCAATATGCCTTCCTAGAGTGTAGTCTTTGGGCAGAAGATCAATCATGATGATGAGCTAAGTGGCTGTCCCCAAACAGCCAACAATGGCGCCATGATACGTGCAGGTAAATCAGGCACAAGGGCTGGGATCTCCCTCGTGGTCTTTGAGAGCTAAAAATTCCTCCATTTCAGATCCTATTTCTAGTTTATGTTTCTGTCCTTGTTTGTTGCTTTTACCCGTGTGATGGAGTCTCGAGGTGGTTTGAGGGATGTACCATTGTTGGCTGGGAGGTTGATCTTAAACCATTGCCAGTAAAAGAAAGCATTGCTTGTCTGGTAATCTCTCTTGGACTGCCTTGGTCTGCCGGTTTGGGTTTGTCTTTAGGCTCACTTTGTGGCAGCTAGAAGGTTGGATGTCATAGAAATTATCAAGACTTTCCAGCAATTCCTTTGGTGCTATCTAGTTTCATTCTGCCACACTGATCTCTGGTTAGCATATGTGCCAGTATTCAAGCTAAATGAGCTGCTTCGGCAGGAGGATGTCCTTCTTGATTCGACCAACAGATATGTTGTCCTCTTAGTTGTTCGTGTCTGGTTGCAGATTTAATTTTCTCTCCATCTGTTTCCTCCTGTTGAATGTTTCCTTTGGGTTCGTCTGTGACTCTGTTTTAGGGACCAATTGGCTGCCATGGCATCACCCTAGAAGCTATACTTTCCACACATAATAATAGGCAATACCCCTCATAAATAAACAGATATAAATAATTAAGTACAAGGAGTCACTTTAAACTATAAAATTACTAAGGCAATCACTTTAAGCGTAATAACATGTTACAAGGTAAAAAGATTATCAATACAAGCATCTTGAACAACAGCACAGAAGTCCTCTATATTTTCAGCTTCACTTTTGGGGTAAAAAAATTAGTCAAGAATCCCACCCTTGACTGTGGATGACAGCCAACAAGTAACGGTTCGAGCCCAGTTAGCTTCATCTCTGCACCACCTCCTTCTCTACAATATTTGGGATGAACAAGTGTTCTCACCCCCCATGTCAGTGATTTAATTGGGCACCTTGATTTAAAACCAATTACATTTTCTCTAAATGAAGGTTGAACAATAAAGAGCAATCTCTAAAATGAAGGTTTTCTAGTGGGACTTTAACCACTTAGAGCTTTTAGCAGAATAAAATGTAGGCAAAACAGATACGAACATTGTTAATTATCCTCTACATGTTTTCTCTTTACATAAATTGAAAAAAATTATATATTTTATTATTGTAATAAGCATATCTTATCCCAAACCTAAAAATTGGGAAAAACAACGTGAAGCACACCACTTTGTGTAGCTGAGCTGCACAGTTTTTTCTAATTGGTTATAAGATCTCTCCATTCCAGTTCTTTGTAGCTACATTAACCTCAGCGCCTTGAAGAAAATCTGTAAAAATTGAAAGAGACGATGCTGCCTATAATATATGGCAAACATATCAAAGAAAATGCAACTAACATAAACAACTAACAATAATGCACTTGCAATTATCGATGGATTTGAAATAGAAATACACAATATATCTGAATTATGTCAGAAGCAAAAACTTCTTAAAGCATAGCCCAGATGATGGTTCTATTTTCCACACCAGGAGGTCCTTCAAAAATATAAGGAACATATACTTCCTCTTTCATAACTCAATATTACAAATAGAATAGTCTATATAAGCATTTAAATTCCAATTAATGAGTTTGAATTGAATTCTTTAGAGAGAAAGAATTAGTCTAACCTAATCTTGCAGATGAAATGTTGATTTTGGTGGCATCCTTATGAAAAAGAACTAATCTAACCCCAAATCCCTGCATATGCATGGCATACCATTGCAAATCCAAATCGGCACACTCATTCATCAATTATGGCTTTTCACAGGCACACGCAAAATTACACATTAAACTTTGCTAGATGCTATTAAGGCTAATTCACAACATCAATAATTGATTATCCTGAAAATTCAAGAACTTAATTTAGTGGGAAACTGACTAGTCCCATTTCAGTTCAAAATAGATTAAAGAGAGCAAGAAAGGTGACGAGGAACAAGAAGAAGCTATTCAATAGTTATTTAGATTATTTAGAATTCTTAAGTAATTATTTTTATTCAAGTGTAATTATCATTAGTTTTCTTCTTTTATTAGGATTAGGTCTTTTATCAAGAGTCTTTTAAGTCTTAGTTAAATTAGAAATTTTAAATTTTAAGTTATAGACTAATTAGAACAGGAGTTCTAGTAGGAGTGTTAGTAGTTTCTATATACATATGCATGTAGTTTCTTTCATTATTAAGTTAATAATATTCATAATTTTCCAACAAGTTTTGCTCTTGATTGTGTGACTTGGTTGTGTGATGCATCTAACCTTAGGTGTGATGCTTAAGGGTTTTCATCCTCTTTAGGTGTGATGCCTAAAGAAACCTAGGTGTGACTCTTAGTCTTTTCTATCCTCCTCGTTGTTTATTTTCTATTTATTTCTCTTTTCTATCCTAAACAGACCCTATTTTACTTGTGTCTTTTCTATCCTAAAAATTGAAAGAGAAGATGCTGCCTATAATATATGGCAAACATATCAAAGAAAATGCAACTAACATAAACAACTAACAATAATGCACTTGCAATTACCAATGGATTTGAGATAGAAATACACAATATATCTGAATTGTGTCAGAAGCAAAAACTTATTAAAGCATAGCCCAGATCATGGTTCTATTTTCCACACCAGAAGGTCCTTCAAATATATAAGGACCATATACTCGCTCTTTCATAAATCAATATTACAAATTGAATGGTCTATATAAACATTTAAATTCCAATTAATAGGCTTGAATTGAATTCTTTAGAGAGAAAGAATTAATCTAACCTAATCTTGCAGATAAAATGTTAATTTTGGTGGCATCCTTATGAAGAAGAACTAATCCAACCCTAAATCCCAGCATATGCATAGCATACCATTGCAAATCCACATTAGCACACTCATTCATCAACTATGGCTTTTCATAGGCACATGCAAAATTATATGTTAACCTCTGCTAGATGCAGTAAGCCTAATTCACAACATCAATAATTGATCATCCTGAGAATTCAAGAACTTAATTTAGTGGGAAATTGATTAGTGCCATTTCAGTTCAAAATAGATAAAAGAGAGCAGGAAAAGTTTTCATTTTGGCTAAATCACCATAGGCACCAGGGACAACAATTAAAAGGCAAACATTTTTAGGCACAGTCCTAACCTTGTGTGAATTATAACAATATACTCAATGGTTAGACACATAGCTAACCTAGTGTGAATTATTTTATAAGTAGGCATGTGTGTGAAATCTTAGAAGATACTATTAATGATGTGCATCAATGAATATGAATGAGTGTAAACTTTAAAGTAAAACAGAAGTGGCTTACTCTTTGGCTTCTTCTGTAGTAGTGAAGCTTGGATATGTGACTGCCTAGAAAGGGGTTACCCAACTCTGTAAGCTTTGGAGACAGCTATCAACTGGTTTCCTGCATGACTTCAAATGGAAAACACATCAATCTTCTCATCCACAATTGGTGAAGAAACTCCATTTTAATCTAATAGTTGGGCTCAGGATTCATCGAGAAAGAGGAAAAGAAAATGGTTTTGAACTTTGGTACTCAAATATCTTGTCAATTGTAGCAATAGGGTGGTGTGACAATTAAGAAGGAAGTCATTCTGCTAATTCAAAATCTGATATCTTTAACCCAAATTTGAGGGGGAAAAACACACACACACACACACACACACATAATTAGGCTTGAAATTCATAATACAATAATTGATATAGAGAGAGGGACAAATATAGAGTAATTTCACATGTGTTCCTATAGCTCAAAATATGCAGTAAATAAACCATCTGAAGCCTTGATACTCTGGATTATCCGTTTATAACAGCCTTTATGCAAGTAAGGGAAGCTGTACCATGTTTTCCAATCAATTAGAGCAAAGTAATTTAAAATTTTATGTTCATAATAAATTCAATTAAAAAATCTAATTTAATCCTTAACAAAATTCATACAGGTAGTCTATGATTAATGAAAATAGAATGAAAATTTTGTAGAGGGAAAAGGGTATCTAAATGAAGAAAATAGAAAGGGTTCTCAAGAGAAAGACAATCACATATGCCCAACCAATAACTTCCCAGATATAGAAGCATAGAATCATGTTCTTATCTGGCCAATTTTAGGCTAATTGACTCCAAATCCAAATCAGGCCCAGAAAGTTGGGTAATTTTCTTCAAGTAAGCATCAACACTTCATTCACATATAAAATATCATCAGTGAATTAGTATTGAGTAGTGAAAATCATGATTGTTGCAATTTCAAATATGTCAATAATTGGTCAACAGATTTTTTAGAGAAAAACAATTGAAGCATAAACAAATTAGCAATGAACCCTAACTTGAATCAAATTCTTAATTATCAACTAAATTATAACATTCTCCTTGCCCAGTTCTAATTCTCAGCGTCCTGTATATTTATGTAAAAGAGTTAAATATGAATCAAGTGTTGTAATCTCCAAAAAGTCAAGGAGAAAATTTGTTGTAGAAACTAATGGGTTAAGTTATAACTACTTTCTAGCAAACAATGTAAAAACTGTCTAAAATGAAAAGGTAAAATACAAACGAGCTCTTTGCTTTTTTCAAACAATGTAATCTCTTTGACAATTAACACAATGAGATACGAACCAGCTATTGGGTGGGATTGTGCGACCTTATCCCCTCAGGCGAGGTCTGTTCTCTCCTTCTATTCTGTTGCCTGGTAGTTGCGATTCTCTAAAAGGCTCCAATCGGGGGAAGCCCTGATTTAGAAAGTGCTAATCGAACTGTGAATCGTGTCCACCTCCTCCTCTGGCTCTACAATGGTCGCTGGTTGAGCGGCGGCAATCGAAGATCTGGGGGCGGTGAGCTTGTCGAGGACAGAGTACACTGTGGCGGGGAATGAAAAGACATGAGAGGAGA